GGGGTGCCCTAGGGACTCCAAAATCAGAAAACAAACCAATTAAACTGTAAATATGTTTTTAATCTTATGATTCCTGCACACCCATGACTGCTGAAGAGTTGATGTTCTACAGCAACCAGTACCGGCCCGTGCTGCAGAACGATGATGGAGATACAGATCCTGCCCAGTATGAAGGATTTTCAGAATCTCCTGCAGAAACGTAGTCGGGGTCAGTGCTCATTACCCTTTTCATCCAGGGGGAAAAGCAGAGAGCGAGTAACTTTTTACTCTGCTGCTGGTTGGTTTCACACGTTAGTCACTGGAACGGGGATGCTCTGGGGCAAGATTTAAGGGGACGTTCAGAAGGAGTTTCAAAGGGTTGGCTCCCTCGCCCGGTGCTGTTCTCCTGGCACTACAATTATCCCTAATTTCACCACCTGAAAACCCCCAGCCAACTACCGGCGGCCGTGTGCTGCCCTCTCACGGGCTGAAAACTGCAGAGCAGTAACATCTCTGCTCGCCCAGAGCCAGCAGCCAGAGAGGCAATAAATAGCAGGGAGGGTTTGGAGTGTCCCTGTCATCATCAGCTGGATTTATGGCGTGCCGCAGTGACTGCACAACCACAGCCGGTGCTTTAGCAGCTCTGCCTGGCCTTCCATAAGAGGGTACATAGGGCTCATGAAGTGTTGGGTGACACCGAAATACCAACCAGCTCACAAGCAGCACTCGGTGCTCTAGGTCCGCTTGTCTCTGCTCCATCGTAACTAATGGTCTCATTTGCTCCAGGAACTGCCATCCTTGCTGTCGAAAGCCTGGGGGAGTAAAGAGGAGAAGAGGGAGGATTACACTGGGACCTAATCCAGCTCTAACCTGCTGAGCTGACAACCCCAAACACTGGACCTTCTGCCTGCTGAGGGGTCTAACCTCAGAGCCGGGGACAGCCCTGCTTTGGCTGTGATTCAGAGCATAGATTCTGGAGAAGAAATGGCTCTGGAGAGACCTTAGAGCCCCTTTCAGTCCCTCAAGGGGCTCCAGGAAAGCTGGGGAGGGACTCTGGATCAGGGAGGGGAGCCTTAGGAGGGGGGGAGATTGAGATGAGATGTGGGGGAGAACCTCTTTGCTGTGAGGGTGGTGAGAGCCTGGCCCAGGTTGCCCCGAGAAGCTGTGGCTGCCCCATCCCTGGAGGGGTTCAAGGCCAGGTTGGAGGGGGCTTGGAGCAACCTGGGCTGGTAGAAGGTGTCCCAGGGGGTGGCACTGGATGGTCTTTAATTTCCCTTCCAACCCAAACCATTCAGTGATTCTGTTCCTCACCCCAGTAAAGCACCCTGAGGCTCTGGTCCTCTGCTGACCTTGCCAACAAGTCTGACCTCGTAAACCACGTGCCAGCACCGACAGTGGTGCCTGAGCTGCACACTCACAGCAGAGAGTGAAAAACTTCCACACAGCTTCTTCCAGCACCTCCAACTCCCAGGAGAAAACCTTGAAGAGATGACCCAAGGGCTTCTAAAACACCATGATGCCAAGAACGTTAGCCTTTTACTACACCCAGTTATTTGGGCTACACAATGAGTTTCCACGCTACTTAAGCAGAGGACGGCACAGTCCTGTGTACTACTATATGAAGTAATTAATTCTTTCCTTCATTTAAAAGTCTTGTGGTTTTTTTAAGGCAATCCCATGATGCGTGGGGGCCTGGGCTGTCAGCTTGGAGTGCTGAAACGAATTCAGCCCCCGTCTCAGAAAACACCAGGATCTTTTAATTTGGGAATTCGGGGTTTGTTGTATTTTGTCTTGAAACTTTGGAGTATGCAACAGACCCCATCTCCTTGCCCCGCTGAAGGGGCTGGAAACTCGCTGTGCCTTTCCTCGGGCATGAGGCATCTCCAGGAACAGCCACACTAATGGAGGCCGCAGGGCAAGGCTCCCTGCCCCTCTCCAGGCCGGGTGGGCAGCCTGCCCGGCTGCTTTTCCCTCCATTTTAAGCCGCAGCCCTTCTCCGGGGGGTCGGGCATCTCCTGCCCCAGGGAAACCCTCCTCTTCCCCTAAACCTCTCCCCTCCCCTCACACCCGCCTCCATCTTACGCCCCCCTCCCACCCCGCCCGTGGCGCTCCTCCTGCCG